CATTTTGGGTCATTTCTGGGTCATTTTTGGACCGATTTTAACGGGATTTTTTCCAATTTTGGGGTTTTTTGGGATCTGCTGACCCCTGAGTGACCCCTGAGTGACCCCTGAGTGACCCCTGAGTGACCCCTGTGCCCAGAGCCTGTCCTGGGTCATTCCTGGGTCATTTCTGAGTCATTTCTGGTCATTTTTGGTTCGTTTCTGGGTCATTTTGGGTCATTTTTGGGTCATTTTGGGTCATTTCTGGGTCATTTTTGGACCGATTTTAACGGGAATTTTTGCAATTTTGGGGTTTTTTGGGAATCTGCTGACCAATGAGTGACCCCTGAGTGACCCCTGAGTGATCCCTGAGTGACCAAAGAGTGACCCCTGAGTGACCACTCTGCCAAGAGCCTGTCCTGGGTCATTCCTGGGTCATTTCTGAGTCATTTTTTGTTCATTTTTGGGTCATTCTGGGTCATTTTTCAGTCTTTTTTTGACCGATTTTAACGGGAATTTTTGCAATTTTGGGATTTTTTGGGATCTGCTGACCACTGAGTGACCCCCGAGTGACCCCTGAGTGACCCCTGAGTGACCCCTGAGTGACCCCTGAGTAACCACTTTGTCCAGAATCTGCCCTGAGTAATTTCTGGGTAATTTTTGGCTCATTTTTGAATAATTTCTGGGTCATTTTGGGTCATTTCTGGGTCATTTTTGGACCGATTTTTATGGGAATTTTTCCAATTTTGGGATTTTTTTGGGATCTGCTGACCAATGAGTGACCCCTGAGTGACCTCTGTGTCCAGAGCCTGTCCTGGGTCATTTCTGGGTCATTTTGGGTCATTTCTGAGTCATTTCTGGTTCATTTTGGGTCATTTTTAGGTCATTTTGAGTCATTTTTGGGTCATTTTTGGACCGATTTTAACGGGAATTTTTGCAATTTTGGGGTTTTTTGGGATCTGCTGACCCCTGAGTGACCCCTGAGTGACCCCTGAGTAACCCCTGAGTGACCCCTGTGCCCAGAGCCTGTCCTGGGTCATTCCTGAGTCATTCCTGGGTCATTTTTGGGTCATTTCTCAGTCATTTTGGGTCATTTCTGGGTCATTTTTTGACCGATTTTAACGGGAATTTTTCCAATTTTGGGGTTTTTTGGGATCTGCTGACCCCTCTCCCCTTGTCCCCCCACCCCAGGGTGAGGCAGCAGCACCGCGTGAACCTGATGACGAGCGAGAGCCTGGCCTGGGGCATTCTTGGGGCATTCCTGGGTCATTTCTGGGTCATTTCTGGGTCATTTTGGGTCATTTCTGGGTCATTTTTTGACCGATTTTAACGGGAATTTTTGCAATTTTGGGGTTTTTTGGGGATCTGCTGACCCCTGAGTGACCCCTGAGTGACCAAAGAGTGACCCTTGAGTGACCCCTGTGCCCAGAGCCTGTCCTGGGGCATTCCTGGGTCATTTTTGAGTCATTTCTGAGTCGTTTTGGCTCATTTTTGAGTCATTTTGGCTCATTTTTGAGTCATTTCTGGGTCATTTTGGGTCATTTTGGCTCATTTTTGAGTCATATTTGTGTCATTTCTGGGTCATTTTTGGACCGATTTTAACGGGAATTTTTGCAATTTTGGGCTTCTTTTGGATTTTTTTTTGACTTGCTGACCCCTGAGTGACCCCTCCCCTTGTCCCCCCCTGTCAGGGTGAGCCAGCAGCACCGCGTGAACCTGATGACGAGCGAGAGCCTGGCCTGGGGCATTCCTGGGGCATTTTGGGTCATTTCTGGGTCATTTCTGGGTCGTTTTGAGTCATTTCTGGGTCATTTTTGGACCGATTTTAACGGGATTTTTTCCAATTTTGTGGTTTTTTGGGATCTGCTGACCCCTTTTGTCTGTCCCCCCTGTCAGGGTGAGCCAGCAGCACCGCGTGAACCTGATGACGAGCGAGAACCTCTCCATCTGCTTCTGGCCCACGCTGATGCGGCCGGACTTCAGCACCATGGACGCGCTGACGGCCACGCGGAGCTACCAGACAATCATCGAACTCTTCATCCACCAGTGCCCCTTCT